TTTATTAAACACTTACTAACCATTTATTAATCTATTAAGATTCAACTAGTATTTATTGAGTTCAGATTGAGACACTAATACTATAATTTTCAACAAGACAATTCAACCAATTGATTTCCTAATTATACATGTTTCTGTTTAGAAGAATATCAGTTTCAGCACTCAAAGTAGGAAAGACAGAAGTAATATTTCAAACTGAGACATACTGTGAGATACACGCTATTAGTGTGGAGGAAAAGAGAATTTCCAGTGAGAATGTAAACTGAAATCATCTTTCCCAAAAGTAGTCTGACAATATGTATCAAGTTTTAATAATGTCCGTTCCTTTTAAGTTAGTAATTATAATTTTAGAAATCTGAGAAAATACACATAAAAAACTATGTACCAAGATATGTACGGTGTTTATGGAAGAAAAAGTTGGAAGTAACCTTAATGTACAACACAGATGAGAGGTTAGATGATGTCGTTATACATTATCTATACAGGGATGATGATTTAGTAACTCAAAATGACAGTATAGAAAAATCGTTAATTATTTTGGAAAACATTCATAATATATGAATGAAATATATTAAATGAAGAAAATATTTTCAAAATAGCTTATAAGACAATCCAATGCATTTTACATGTGTGTATATATATGCATATATATGTGTGTATGTGTATGTATGTATGTATGTATGTCATCACCCAGAAAGGAAATACTCTGAAACTATCTCTTAGTCTAAGAGGATTATAAGCAATGTTTTTATTTCTTATTATCTTTCTGTACATAGCAAATTTTCTACAGTAAACTTGTATAGACAGAAAGAAAATAATAAAGGTTATGTTAACGTCAGAAAATCAAATATTTAAGACAATAAAAAGCAATGTTTACATCAACAAAAATCACCATTTTCAGTTTATTTCCTGATAGTAAATTCTAGCAATAATAAATAATTTACTGAGTATTAAACTGTGTGAGAAAAATTTAAGTATTAAAAAATTCAAAGCATCAATTTATAAGACCAATAACAGAAAGCATAATCCAACCTCAATACTGTCCTTGTACTTAGATTGTACTGTGGCAATGAGCTTTTCCTCTGAACGGATCTTTTGCAGTACTTGACTATACATATTTAAAATGATCTCCTTGTCTGCATCACCATGCTCCTAAATGAAATCACACACATGGAATTATGCACAAAGCAGTATCCAAAATAGTTAAAACCTTCAATAAAAATCAGTAAACTTCAAAATTATGCCTTTGACAAATTTCTATATTCATTTGAAAATATTTCTTAAATACAAATTTTTTCTAGACAGGAGAGAGATTGACATCAAAGATGTTCACATGGGAAATTTTACTCCCATTCCATTATCATTCCCAAACCTGTCTGAAGTAGAGCATTAATGGAAACCAGGGATACTAACGTGCTAAATGTAAGAACTAAACAACATACAGAACTTCAACACTTTATTTTTAAAAATCATCTATTAACAACCACTTCTAAAATCAAATCTGACAAAATCATATAAATCAGTACTATTTAACAATATGAAAATTCTTAACGTATTTTTAATGCCAATATGAATAAAACTCTAAGAAGTAAAAAACAAACACATAAAATGACTAGCATAACCACTGAGACACTGGAAAGTAGCCTGAATAACTGGGAAAGAGTCCCAATGAGGAAAGTCAAAATTACAAAATACTCTTTGGAGGAGCTACACTAATTTTTACTTTGACACAGCAACACAGAATATACACAATAGAGAAAGGAGGCTACTATTCAATCTTGTGTATTCACTTTCAGAGCTCTCCCAGATTTTATTTCAAGTTTTCACAAACTCTAAGGAGTTTTTT